GAAACCAATTTTCATGAACAATATTTCAAACATGACATGCATGAGTTTAACTCAATTCAAAGCTTCAATTTGATGCTCTAAGGAGCCAATTCTTCCAAAAACAAGTTGAAAACATGGACCTGAACATAATTATGAACATGCATGCACCATTTTGCCATGAACTCAACTCCAAATTCAACCAAGAACACATGCAAGCATGAATTATGCTCTATATCAACATGTATGAACTAAAACATGACTTAGCTCTACAATTGAAGCACGAAACATGCAAGAACTAGTTCAATGGCAACAATAAGAAGATGAAAGCCCTACCTTAGTCTTGTATTCAAGGTTTGGGAGCTCAAAGTTCAATTACCAAGCAATTCACAAGCAAATTTGAGATGAAATCAACTCTTCTAGTCTCTCTCTCTCTCTAAGGTCGGTTGTAGGCTCAAAATGTGGCTGAAGAAGTGTTTTGATTCAAGTATGCAAAGGCTCTAATATGTTATAATAAGAGGCCCACTAATAATGGCACTATGGTGAATAAGTCAAAGTTTGCAATTAACTCGTTTTAGTCTAATTTAACATACCTAATCATTTTTCAGATAACTTTACTATAAAATCACATTAATTATGACGATCATAAAACTTCAATCAATTCCAGATTCGGCCGCCGATAAGACCTTCAATTAGCAGTTTAAACACAAGGACATGAACAGATAATTAATCAATCAAACAGATAGAATGTGCAACACAATAGTTATACTTGGCTAATTCAGTTTCAATTTCAGTCAGTCGATTCAGTACTTTTAATCAGTTCAATCATCAGTCATAATCAATTCAGTTCAACGGTAATCGATGGTTATTGGTAATCAATCAGTCATTATTCAGTAAATAGTATGAGGGTTGTTACATATTTTCACTAACAATTTTAAGGAGATCAAATATGGAACAAGTGCCAGAAAAAAAATCAATGATGGAATTGGAGATCTCAACAAGCCTTTCAAGTTCCAGGGAGTTCATTTTAAGAGGTGGAAAGGAAAAGTTCTTTTTTACCTCAACCTTTTGAAAGTTGCATATGTTCTTACCGAGAAGAACCCAAACAAAATCCCAACCGAGGAGATGAATGATGAAGACTACGAGGCATATGAAGCAAAAGTGGCTTCCTATAATACAGATGAGTATAAATGTCGCTTTTATCTCTTAAATTGCCTTGCTGATCAATTTTATGATTACTATGACACCATTTACACTTCCACA